CATTTCTTTTGCACTGTCCCGCTGAGCGAACACAGAGGCATAACCACATGAATTTTACAGCTGTAGGACATCATTGTTAATGGGAGAAAAAGCCCTAAAAACTTGCTTCAAACCCTTGTTCTGTCTTTTAAATAGAGCTCGTAATTAACTTAGCAATGCTGCAGCTCACATGTTCTCTGCAGCCATTCACGGCGTATCCGTCAAACCTAATAAGGAGGAGCTGATGGACTACACAACATTGCAATTTATGCACTGATGCTAAACAATAACATTTTCTCAAGTTAAGTGGAAAGTTCCAGGAAAATTAAGCATCTGAAAATTTAATTACACAAGGTGACTGAAAAATAAACTCACTAACTCATTACACTGGGATAAAAATCTGCACTCTCACAAGGAATATTTAAGACAGAATTGCAGAGCAGATTTGCAATTCCCAAATGCCTTTGAGTGATTCAAGTGAATGAATTATAGAATCACAGAATTGTTTGAGTTGGAAGGGTTTCTTAAAGGCCCTCTAGTCCAACTTCCCTGTGATGAACCAGGACATCACAGCTCCACCAGGTTGCTCAGAGCCCTGTCCACTCTAACCTTGAATATCTCCAGAGATGGCACATCCACCACCCCTCTGGTCAGCCTGTCCAGTGCTCCACTGTCCTTGGTGTAAAAGTGGTAAAGAACTTTTTCCTTGTATGCAACCTAAATCTATCCTCTTTTAGTTTGGAACCATTTCCTCTTGTATCATTAAGCTATTATTAAGTTAATTATCGTCCATCGTAAAACACAGAATATGATTAAATTTAGGTGTTTAAGACCAAAAACACACCTCTTAAAACAATTACAAAAAAGAGTAACTAAGTTTTTTGTATGCTACTGACAGTTAAAAAATGTAATACCATAAATAACAAAAAATTAACAGTAAAAGTAATAATAAGAAAGACTTGTCTCAAGCACAGTTTTTCCAGTCTCAGAGAAATCTACTGCATAGCAAAAGCAAGACATTAAATATTTTCCTACATCTATGTCAGTAGTAGGAGCCCTGAGCAATGCCTGATCAGTCATTCCTGAGCTCAGCTGCCATATACATGCCTTACAGATGGGTGATACACTAACACGTTGATGCCATATTCCAATTCTATCAGTGACACCAAATCATTAAAAATCCTGCTTACGAGGGCAGATATTGCTAGGGGTATCAAACCCTCTGTCTCTCTTCACGCTGTTTCCTGCAGCCCAACCAGCTCCTGTGCCTCCATCACTCCCATGTCTGCTGGGTGCTGCCTGCTCCTGTGTCTCCCAGGGGGGCTTTGGCCATGGTTAAGCAAAGGAGGCATAGGCTATACCATGAAGCTGATCCCAACACTACATGGCTCCCCAACAGGGCTGAAGTCAACTCCATGCCCCTGCTCCTGTGCAGCACAATGAGACTAGCCATGGGGAAGAGCTCACTCAGCACTGAAAGATTTCTTCTTCAAATCCCCAAACCCTTAAATCTTTATTTAAAAGCTTAAAGAAAGAGTAGCACGATAATTCTTGATAATGTGATGAGATTTTGTGTTAACAGCATCAAGATGATATCACTTATTATTAGTGCTGCTTACATTAAAGGGCAGCTTCAGAAGTCTGAGTGCCAGCTTTACTGCATACATGATTAAAATATTCCCCTCTAAAAAAATTGGTTATTTTCTGCCAAAGTGTAATCTAGGATTTATTTATAAATATTTATAAACACAGACCAGAGGTAGTGGTGATGACTATCACTGCTTAATCTCTCCTTCACATAGAATTTACTAAGATCTCCTTTATCAAAAACTCCAAAATTGTCTCTCTACTTAAACTCGCCTCCATGAAGTTCAACCCTAGGAATTATTTTTAGAGCATTGCTCAAGAACACCAAACAACTAGCGAGGCATTAAAAACAAACAAAAAATACCAAACAAAACAAAACAAAATTAGAAGCCCATAAAACATGTCTAGTCACAATACAAAGAATTAAAAGAGCGGCATAAAATTAAATGCCAGAATTGTTAGTTTGAAGCCTGGACTATTTCAAAATCCTTTCTTTTATGCTTTATTTTTCCAGGCGCTTTGCAGACATGTAAGTCACCAAAGTCACAACATCAAAAAAAGATGAAGGGTAAGGTGCAGAACCATCATTTCTCATAAGGCATCAAAGACCTATCAAGGTCAAACTCAGCGCTTAGCTGTTCTTCATCCCTGTTACAGTTAGTGCTACAGCTGCACAGATTATCACGGTGAAAATGGGAAAAGAAACAAACAGAGAAGGAATGCTCACCTGTATCCAAAGATATAGGCACACAGGAAAGACTCCACAGAGGAGGGATCTCCAGCAAGAGACCCTTCCCTAATGGCAGTCAGCCCTTACATGGGGTCTAGGAGAGGTGCAGCCAGGCTCCACCCCTTTGGTCACACAGCTGAATTGCCTTCACCTGTGCTCCATGGCTGACTCAGAGCTTGCCCCAGGTGATCAATCAGTGGTTCAGGCTGTGACTCAACAGTTCCATACACCCCCACAACCATGCAAGAAGTTCTTTACACTTTCAAACATTAACCGTATCCTTTTCACCTAATAATCGAGGCAATCTTGCTGTATATGTTTTTTGGATGGCTAACAAAAGGAGAAACTACAGCTGTAAAAAGAATGAGACTTCAAATGAATGTGAGATACCTTCACAAAAGTCTCATCGGTAACACAGTGTCAGACAAATGTTTGCAATGCATTGTTCGCTGCCTTTTTTGGTAATTGCAGAAAACACACCCTAGTTTGTAAGGTTCCTGCTGAGTTTATTTCTATTTCTGAGAATTCTTATTAGCAGTAGGTCACTAGAAGAGCAGCATAGTGAAAATGAGACGATGTTGATAATATAGGCAAGAATGACCAAGGAAAAACAATCATTTGAGAAGGCAGGATTTTAAATGGAAAAAATCCATAATATGTTGGAGAGTAAAAGCTGAGAATTTATCCAAATCAGAGAGGAGAAAAGCAGAAAGCTGAAAAAAGCCTGACCCCAACATTGTACTTTCTTCACTGCCTTTGTTACCTGAAGCTTGTTCGTAATAAAAAAATAATTGGAAAAATGTAGTTAAACTAACAGTGGTGTCTCTGAAAAACATTCAGGAAAAAATGTAGCTCCCAGAAGTACTCATATTTTATATGTAAACACACACATATATAATTATATGTGTAAATATTTCTAATAAAAAGCTTCCCAGAGCTTTCTCAAATGTGTGTCAACCTACTTGGAGTGACTTCCTAGTATGAAAAATGGCCGTGATTGTTGAATAAATTATTTGGTACAACTGTGTCAGTTTTTAACAAGCAGCAACATCCTACTAAATCTCTGCACTTATTTCTCACTTATATTTTATCTGTGACTCCCGTATTTGGAACATTCTAACAACTGTGATATTTAAATAGAAGCAAATGAACAGCCACTTCGGTCAGGATATGATGGTCCTTTCAATGTAAATTCTCCTAAGAGAAAAATAAACTTTTCTCCAAAAAGGACATAATCTAATTAAATACTTGCTTGATGTCAGTGTCCTTCCAGGAGAGGAGACAACATTGTAAAGGAACAGAAATGCTTAATGGTAATTCTCATGAGCAAGATTTTTTTTTTCTGTCTGCTCTAGCCAAAATGTAAATCATTTTCCACTGTGGTGTCAGGGAAGTGTACTGCAGTAAATCAATCACAAACTACTTTTAAAAAGGGACAAAAAAAAAAAAAAATCAACTGCAAAATGAAACAAATCTCTGTATGCCTGTTTTCCATTTGTATTGTCATCACTTACCTTCAGAGAACGATGGAAGTGAGATGGGAATGCTGCTGAAATGCGTCCAACAGACTCTGTGTGCATGTGTTAGCAGCTCTAGCGGTCTCTGTGTCCCCAGCCATTGGAAAAGACAAAGCATTACAGCCTACCCACGGTGTAATTTTTACTTTTTGCTGGGCTGCTGAGCTGGGATACTCTATAGGAAGCTAAACGCAGAAACACAGAGACAAGCTGTGTGATTTCTTTTAGCATTTCCTAGTACTCAGTACTAGTACTTCTGCTGGGGTAGATAAAAGTCTTTCTGCCTTGTTATAAAAGAAGAGGAAAGGCAATTCATGAGGGAAATGGAATCATTTTAGAAAGCTTTTCCTAATAAGCTCAATAGTTGAGCAGATGTGTGTGAGTGGGGAAAGCTGGGAGCTCAGAGAGCAGGCAGCTCCATCCGTCATCACACAACTGTGACTCGGCTTGCTTTTATCTTTTATGTCAGGCAATCAAATGAAAAGCCAATTTTATTTACTGAGTGAGGGGCAAATAAACTCATGCCAGTTAAAGAACAGAAATGATGTATCTGTGGTTTAGACTGGAAACATTTAAAAAATAAAAACTCTTTAATAGTTCCCTCAGACAAGACTTCTAGATCCTCTTCTGTCTTTGTTTGCTCTTAGGGCAAGATGGGCATGGACTGAACATTTTGTTAACTGTGTCCTTTCAAATTTTCACACCCACAAACTACACCATCCAAGAGGAAGAAGTAGTACTTGATGTCTCTGCTTTAAATCATTTTCAAAACTTTTTCGGGAAGAATTCTCTGGACCACAAGCAATAGCAATTAAAGTCAGCCTAAGCTTTACAGCTGACTTTGAAATTAGAAGGTGCTTACTAAAATGTTTTGAAGTCTTTTGTTATTTTCCCCTTTTTCTCAGTCTCCAAAAGCACTTTTCTTTCTCTAAGTGGTCGTAAGTCTGCTTTTCTCCCTGTTAGCTGCTCAGGTCTGTATTAGCTTAGGACTGTCATTTTCTGAACCCTGTGTCAGAAAAGTGTTCCATAATGTACCTGCAAGTGTAAGCGTGAGCCTGTTTATTAGTTCTGCTCAAAAACAGCTCAAAACATGCACTGAAATTACTGAATTGGGTAAATTTTGTGCGTTTTTTTTTTTTTTCCTGACACAGTAATTTTGTTCCCCCTCCTCAGCAAGCCACACTTACCGGTAAAAAGTTGTGTAATCCACCGTTGAATGACAGCTCTGAAAATCCCAGGCTTTGAGCTTCTGGCATTCCCGGTGAGCCCGGAGTTTCACCCTGACAGTCCCATGGCAGAGCTCAGGCACAGGTTTCCTCTGCGGGCGACTGCAGAACTCATTAGACTCCACACGCCAGGATTCAGCGAAGTCGTCCACGTCGAACTTAAAATTCCCATCCCCCCCAATCAGGTCATCTCGCTTGTGCCCGTTGTAGTTACCACACAGGCCACAGAGTTTGCCTTTCAGATGTGGTGCAGCCATGACTTCCACAAAACTGTCTCCGTCCCATGAGATTTCCAGGCCTAACAAAAGAAAGAGATGAGATAAAAACACAGAGTTTTAAAAAAGAAAAGAAGAAATTGAGGTTAATAAACTTATACATGTGAAACAGTGTTCAGAGGAACCTAAACAAAGCTATTGTTTTCCTCCTGATAATACTGTTAGATTTCTATTTACCTCTCAATAAGCACCTCTGGCAAGTGCAAGTGTTTCTTTAATCACTGTTGATTACAATATACTTGTCCCTCTCTGTGTTTACTTTTGTTCCTCCTTGCTGTTGGATGGGGTCATCCTAAAAAAATCTGGATCCAAAGCAGAACTGCTCTCAACGCTGAATGATGGCTGTTGTGTAAGGCAGCAAATTGAATTTTCGAGGGGAAATTTCTAGTGGATTTCAGGAGGGTCATAATTTCAGCCACTTTCATCTGCTGCACAGGTCTTGGGTGTAAAAAGGTGCCCATGCCCTATGGGAATCTGACAGTGAATACTTCCTAGAAAACATTCTTTTCTTGTCTAAAGAGCTGATAATCATTTGGGTAAAGACAACAATTCCAAAATCAGTACTTTGTGTGAATAAAAAGAGACTAAAAATGAAAGCAAAAAGATGCCAGATGAGTAAAACTGCTGCAAGAAAGCATTCTGAAATGCATTCAGATGGATCATTCCAAAGGTGTTCATTACCAATCTTTTGAAATTGACTTGACAGGTCAGCACCATTATGGAATGACAGTAGGCATGGAACATCCATCTGGAGGTCTGGATATAAGTGTCATGATACAATCTATTTTACAGTAAGGTTTCATACTTCCAATGCATCAAAATCAAAATTGCTTTCTGTGTGTGAAATCTATTTCATGTCTATACCCATCTAAAAACTAAATGTCTAGCTTTATGTCTCTTTAATGGAGAGAAACAGGTAGTTCAGGGATCACAGCATGAATGTCTAATACAGTGGGAATAAACTACCTTCTGAATGCCCTTCTGTTTCCAGTGACATTATAGATGATCCAGAAAGCAGGTGGAGCCTAAAATTATAATTTTATCCTGAGTTATAATGAAGTGAATTCTATCCTCTTATATGACGTGAATTCTATCCTCTTATATGAAGTGAATTCTATCCTCGGAGCAGTAAATACATATTTCATAAAGGAATGCAATTTTGGTATTGTATGTGATAAAAACAACACCAAATATCACTTAACTTTCATCCCAAAATGGCCCTTCCAATGTCTGATGAATGCTAATACTTTGCATCTCTGCAGTGCCCTCCACCGGAAGACCACAAACCACTTTGCTGATGTTAATTTATTCCCATAAAGTACCCATGTGTGGCAGTTATTTAAGGATAAACAAAGGAACCTGCTTTTAAACAGGATAATCCAGATTTCACTCTCCTCTGCGTCTGGCCAAGAATACCAAACAGCACTGCTTTGTGGTGCAGGACCAGGGATTTGCTCCAGATTTCTACATTTGCTCTGTGGGCTGGCTTAGCACCACCCTTTCCTCTTGTAAATCAGCACTTGTCACTGTGCAATCCAAATCCTTCTCTGTGCTCATGCAAGTAATTAACATACCAGCGATTCAGTTCAAAGCTGGTGCCCTTTGTTTAGCAACACATCCCATTGTCTCCTATGACAATTCCTACCCATGCCACAGAGGATCAGGGTGAGGCCTAAGGGGCAACAATCACAGAATCATTAAGATTAAAAAGGACCACTAACATCATGTAGTCCATGCATCAACTGCGAGAGCCCTTCAATGGCTGTAGAAGGGGTGCTTTGCCATCAGTACAGATTATCCCGTCCCTATTTGATTTACACTACCACAAGTGTCTGGGAGAAGATTTACCCAGCAAGGTTTGCAGATAATTCTGCATCAGTCAGTCTCCACAGACTATTTCATCATGCTTTCTTATTGTTATGGATATGCAATGATACTACTAATACATACTATGACGTGGCCTGAAAGCAGCTTCAAATTCCTTCATCATCCCAGAATGCATAGGACCACTTTCTCCTCTAGAGGCATTTTACACCAAACCAGCTGAGAAATTGTGCAATGCTTTGGTTAATGAGGCCAGCACAGTGGCAAGAAGGAAAGCTGCCTTTTCAAGCTGCTTCATACATTATCATTGCTGGACAAATTCAAATTCCAGCTGTCTTTGCTTCTGACAACGTTGAACAAAACAAAACACAGCTTGATTTGCAGACACCAGATTAATACTGCTGTGCTGGCATTTAGAAAGAACTTGCCATTAACGTATAAACCGAGATTATTTCAGACTTGAGAAGCACGTAAACCTTCTGAAAGCTTGAAGTATCCAGATCCAAGCCCTCAGACAGCTCTCTTCAGAAAACAGCTCCATTTTTAAGGTAGTTTTCAACTTGTTCCCCAAACGAGCTCCCTCAGAAGCTGCTGACTTTACAGTAGACTCACAGAAGTCAGGTATATGATTTAATCCTAATTTTCCTTTTATAATGCTTTTTTTTCTCAAGTTATGAATTACTGACTTTCCGTGAAATCACCTGTATTTATTACAAAAGGCTAACTCTAATATTATCTTGAATATTTGTGTGTCCTTGGTGAGACACTGGCATCTTGTCACGCATTGTCCCGTGAACTCTAGATATGCAGACATGAATAACATAAAATTCTGGTTTTTAACCTCAGCACACTTTTAAATCCAGAGATCCCTGCTTTGATTATGGGATTTGATTCAAGAGAGTTACGGTTTAACTACCAGCAGTGGACATACTTTTTCTACTTAGATATAATGTAATTATATTATATTTGCTGTAATTGCTAAGATGCAAGCATAGCAAGTAAATTCATAATGCCAGGTTGTCTTCAGCTATACTAACAAGATTTCTAGCTTTCATGAACAGCCTAGAGGTTTCTATCCATAGTGGAGCTTCTTCCATTTTGGCGTAATGAAGAAGGGTATTTAATCTAACATGTATGATAACTCTGTCAGAGCCTGGTTGCACCATGCAGTGTGTGCCTTTTTGTTTGTTCACACACAGAAAATTCAGTTGCTTCCTGTAAACCAACTAGAGCTGTGACAGACGGGATTATGCTATGGAGCAACATTTAAAATGGTCTCTTTGGCAGACAGAAATTGTTTGGAAGAGCTTCCTGGTGCCTATAACCTCCTCTCTTTCCCTCCCAATGGATGAGTTTCCCATTCGCTTGGACAAGAATCAGAATCCAAGTGGTGAGACTGGAAGCCAAAGGATGCAGCATCTGTCCCATCTGGAGATGTGCAGAAAAGGAACATTCTCAGAGTTACTTTTTAATGTATTCCAATTTTCCTCTTTCTTTGAAGGACACTTAACCAACTTGTTACTTGATTTCTTAACTTGGCACACTATGTGCTCTACTGCATTTAAAAGAAATTCTTCTGGATTTATGCACATCACACACTGAGTTTCACATGCTGGGAACTCCCATCAATTGTTCTGCATGATTTTTCATGGTAAAGGCATCCTCAAGAACTGGCAGATCATTCCTCCCTAAAGATCTAGGGCCAACAGAAAATCTCAGCAAAGCAGATATGTGAAAAAGATCCGCACAGAAGAAAAACAACAACAAAAAACCCTCCTGCACTGGAGGGACAGATGAATTAGCATCAACTCTGTGAGCATCAGCTCTCTTGTCTTCTTAATACATTAATATACACATTGTAGACAAGGACTCAACACCATGCTAGACAGTACTGGGAGTACCTGCAAGATCAGGGTGCCAGAATTGCTGCTGTGGAACCCAGGGATACAACTGGTGAGGAATTCAGCAACAAAACAGGTTTTCACGGGAAAATGCCAATTCATCAGAAATGAAATGCATCAGGGAGGCATATCAGATTCAATGAACTTCCAACAGAACCCAGGCATGGCTCCAAGCTGGTTTCATGCCAGCTCGCCTGGTGGGCTGTCTGGAAGCCTGGACTCTCAGGATATGTAACTCCAGGGCATGCAGATTGCCTTGTAGCCAGGGACCACAAGGCTTCCTGATGCATTGGACTCCCCTGATTTATCCAGGACTCAGCTCCCAGCTCTGCAAAGGGAAAACCAAAAACCAAGGGAATGCTGACTGAGCTGTAAGGACCAGACTGCACTTTCCAGACCAATTTTACTTCAATTTTTTTTCTAGTTCGGTAGCTTTGCTTATTTTTCATTATCTCCTTCCTTTGCCTCTTTTCCCCCACTGTGTTGAGAAAGCATAAATTTTTAAAAAATCCATGTTCCAGAAAGTTCTCAGATTTTTTTCCCTTGGCTTTTGAATTTCTTGTGGAATAGAAATTTTGTCTTTAAAACAGTTTCACTCAGCACATTTCTTCTCTCTACAGCCTCTCTGCTGCTTATCCTCTCTCAGCAAAATGGAGTCATGTTGTTCTCTGCCTCTTTCCATGTCTTCTGTGCTGAGGGAAGGAGGACTTGGCCTATCATGCTGCCTTCAGTCAGAGAAACCTAATCCTTCCCTGTTAAGGGGAGGAATTATTTAGACTATAATTTGCAGTGATTACACAGTGTTTGGTATGCTGTCATATGCCATGTTTGCACTCCCTCTGCCAACACATGGACAAGGATGTGTGCAGTCATTTATTAGGCTTGCACCAAAGACAAATGGAATAGCAGCGGGATTAGCTGTCATTCATCTTCAACTGAAAACCTTTCCGTGGCCTGTGGTTGGCTAATGAAATCCACATCGCCAGTATTCATAGCGTTCAGCTGGCTGCAAAGAGAAACCTTCAAGATGCTTTTAATTAGAAGTTGTGAATAATGGTCAACTTGTGTGCATTTTACAGACAGCCACAAAAATCTACACTGCCACTTTTAGGAATGAACCCAGAGCTGGGATCCACATTATACAGACTTACATTTCGAGGGGATATATGAACAGGTGTCTAAATTCTCAGTTCAACAGTGGGTGCTAGTGTACCCCTTGAAAAAAAAAAAGACTCCAGATAATGAGTATGACTATGCTTCATGCTTGTGACCATACCACTCCATAAGAAAGACTGGTTTCACTGTTTGCACATGGCATTTAATTGAATTAACAGTAAATAGTATTCTCACTGAAACAGTACTTCACTGTTTAAGTGAAATCTCCCAGGACTACAGTGCTACCTAACACATGCTAATGAGGAAATTCTTAGCTTCCACTCAGTATTTATCTATGCGAGCATACTATAGCTCAAAATAGTTTATCAAAACAAATGTAAGTCCTCTGGTTTAGAATTTTGACAATAAATGTATTCTTTAGGTCTCTAAGGACTTGAGAATCTGCTATCTTCCCTCCTTTTTCTACAAAAAAATGTGCCAGATTCTCAAAGTTTCTCGTTTCCTTTTGCTTCTGAGGCTGTGAAGTTTGTTCCACTTGGAGAGACTCTTACCCAAACACAAAGCAAGCACAGAACAATGGCATTAAACAGCAAACTAAGCCTTGTTTTTTAAACGAGGATGTCCATTTTAGTGGGTAGCCTCAGTGAAATGTTTCCATAATTTGACAACTTAAACCTAATCCAACCATTAGTAACTATGATTTTCCACGTATCTTCTACTTAGACTGCAAGGTATGTTGCTGCAACTGTAGAAAAAAATGAATGTTGATTACATCTCTGTTCTTAGCCATAAGTATCTGAGAAACACAGAATCACAAAATATCCTAAGTTAGGAGAGCCACAAGGATCACTGAGTCCAATTCCAGCAGCCTGGTGCTATAACTGCAGGTCATGGTGAAAAACCTGTTCCTAACCCCCCGCCTGACCCTCCCCTGACACAGCTCCATGCCGTTCCCTCAGCCCTGTGGCTGTCACACAGAGCAGAGCTCAGCATTGCTGTTCTGCACCCTGTGAGGAGTAGTGGCCGCCATCAGGCCTCCCCTCAGCTCCTCTGCTCCGGGCTGAGCAAACCAAGGGACCTCAGTCACTTCTCACACACCTTGCCCTCCAGAACCTTCCCAATCTTCATAGCCCTCCTTTGGATGTTCTCTACCAGTTTTATGTAGTTCTTAGACTGTGCTGCCCAAACTACATGCAATGCTCAGGATGAGGCCACACAGCACAGGGGGTCAAAGCCCTTCTTTTGCCCAGCTGGCAGTGTGGCCCTGATGTACCACCCCTGGGTATGGTTGGCCCTTTGGGCTGCCAGCACACTGCTGACTCAGATTCAACTTGCTGTCAGAACCCCCAGATCCCTTTCCACTGAGGGGCTCTCCTGCCTCTTCTCCCCAAATCTGTACTTCTGTCCTGGGCTGCCACATCTCAGGAGCAGAATTTGGCTCTAACTCTTGTACAGTTTCACGCACTTGGAGATTGCCCAGCCCTCACACTTGTCAACATATCTCAGGAAGGCCTCCCTGCTCTTGAGCGATTCAACAGCTCCGCTTAATTTTGTCATCCACAAAATTAAGTAGTAAAACTTCACGTTCAGTACCCAAGTCTTCTTTAAATGATTACACTGAACAAACCACTCTAGTTACTGGAAGTGAAAATCACGGCACGTTTATCTATGCAGGTAGCTAATTGTCAACTGCAGAATGAAATATAGTCTAGGACGTGTTCTGCAAAGGCTTCACTCACAGCTGCATTTCTGTCTGCTTGTAGGCTGGAAGAGTTTTGAAAGAATTATCAAGTACTTAGGTTACTCAGATCTCTAATTGATATATTTATTGCCATTGTTGTGGTTTTATACCAATTAATGTTCTTGTTGCATTTGAGAAGTTTTTCTAGGAGGAAACACACACACACAGTTGCCCTACCTGCTTTGGTTGTCACTTTCAGCAAATAACCATCCAAATCGATCTGAAACTGTGGTGTCTCGCAGGGTAGTGAGATACGGGTCCCATTCCACTTCACTGTGAGGTGCTGCTGGAGGCTGATGGTGCTTCTGCCCAACACAAGGTCCACTGACTTTGTCCAGGAGAAAGAACGGGTCCGACGGGCATCGTTTTTCACCAGCACCTGGAAGGGCGAGGCAGAGGAGGAGCAGTCTTTCGTCAAAACGTACTGACATGTTCCCTGAAAGTTAAATGTCCGTCCATCAAAAGTGTTGTAGTGAGGGTCTCCAAACACAGTGCAAACTCCAGGCTCTGCAGGTGAGTGAGAAACAAAAGTGCTATATCAGGATCAATCGAAGCTTGAAAAAAGCAGTTGATAAGAACTTAAAGGATGCTGCTCTCAACTAATCTTTCTGCCCTACAGGGCAGATTTTTTTTGAGGACCAATAGGAATACATTTATCTGAAAAGTATAAACCTCGTGGTTTTAGCAGAAATCTTTCCCAAAGCAAGTGAAAACTAAATGCCAATCAATCCTTGGTTCAACATGAGAAGGTTAAACTATAGCTAGGAACCAAAGACAAATCTTCCAACCTCTGAATGAGTCCCCTAAACATAATGTGCCACCTGGACAGCTGAAGTTGTTACAATGCCTTGGGAGACTGCTGAGTTTCATTGACAAAAAATGCAAGCCTCATTCACAGTCTCAGAGCAGGCAGAGCCCAGGGCCTTGCAGAGCCCATGTATCCCTGGACTTGTGTGATGGGAGCCTTCCAACTTCATTCCAGCTTTCCCAGCACAAGTGTCTACATTTGACCAAATCATCCGGTTTCTTTCTTACTGACAGAAAGAAACAAACACAACTAGAAAGTCTCTCATCTCACTGGTTTTAGATACCTATTTTAATATGTGGGAAGCTGCTCTCTGAAGGAGCCTGTATCATTCTGCTATCTGCTCTGAGAGCTTAGCTGGAGGCATTCCTTTCAGTCAGATTCACCCAGAATGAACTTTCACCCTTAAGTTTTGTGTGGGAGCAAACCCTAATCCAATAAATGAAGTAGAATTCAAAATATCACCTGTATATTTTTGAGGTTTAGTTTGAATGTCCCAGGTTAGGCAAGAATGATTTTTCGAAGTTAAAAGCCATCAAGCCACTTCAGCACGACCTTTCTGTCCATATTTTATATAGGCATATGTATAAATATATAAAATAGGTATATTTTTTCAAAATCTTCTCTTGTACCACTATTAAGTTGCTGAAAACTATCACTGAGGAAATGCGATCACCATTTACTATACACATACTTTTTTAATACTACAAACTGTCACACGTTATTTATACAAAACTGACTTTTAGTGGTTATTGTTCTCACAACAAAAGCCAGCAGTACATGAATAGCATGATGCAATGACTATCTAAGGGCATAGTGTCTCTGCTAGTTACATGCATTTTTACAATTAGAGGGAGATGTCTTATTGATGCTTTCAGTTCTATGCTGGTCAAGAGAAGTCACAGTTCTCAAAGGCACAACTTGTCCACACTTATATCAACAATTCTGAGTTACCCTGCAGTTATCCAGCAATTGATTGAATTGCTTAGCAGTTGAGGAGAGCAGCAATTTGCATTTCAGCCTTTGGGTATAACAATAGGTCCTAACCACATCTCACTGCCGCTGTTCTTGGAAGAAGGAATCTCAGGACAGAGAAATGTACACTGCTGCTGCCAGCTGAATACCCATGGGCTTAGGCTGCTATTGAAAGATGATGTCTGTTTTAGGGGGACAGCTTGATACAGTAAGAAAATTTGACTCAGTAATCAGACAGCTGAGAACAGCATCAATCAAAAAACAAAACAAAACAAAGGCCAACAGCCTAGGGGAACGGAGAATAACAGAGAATGCTATTTCTTAGCTGAAAAAAAATTATCACACAATGTCTTCTCTGAAAGCAGAAAAACAAAAAGGGAAAATTCAAGCCTACGAAGAAAGAAGGAGACACGTTATGGAGAAGAGACACAGAATTTCTATGATGGAATGTAATGTAGTTCTGAGTAAGCAATACACTTTTCTCATTCGGTCTATTTAGCCTAGGCACAGTGCTGTGCTAAAGCAGCTGTATTGTTTCTGATGTTTTCACTAGCTTCAGTTAAAGGCTGTGCAGGGATATGTATAGAAGATGTGGACGAAGGGGGCCCCAGGAGACGTTACCATTCCTTTTTCCAGCTGTAATGCAGAATTGCCTATACCTACATGATTTCTGATACATATACACCCTGTTTTCATAGAGCAGGAGTAATATGAATCCCATCACTAGCTCCTGCAGCTCTCAGTGACCCTTACTGTAAGGTCTTAAAAGTCTAACCCCAGTCTTCCCCACTACACAATGCAGTACCATCACAGAATCGGTACCTGGGTAACATTTGTAACGGACTCCTAACTTGTCACATCCATTCTTTTTTTCCATTAAGTCTTTAGTTAAGCCACTCTTGGAATCATTAGTATGCCACCTTACTATGTTTCATAACCAGGGACCAGAAGTTGTGATTTCTCAAGCACATCATGTTGACAGGTCCACTTGAATTCAAAATCACAAAATCACAGAATCATAGGGGTTAAAAGGAATCTCTGGAGATCACCTAGTCCAGATCTCCTGCTAAAGCAGGTTCCTTAGAGTAGATTGCACAGGAAAGTGCCAAAGTGGGTTTTGAACATCTCCACAAGAGGAGACTCGACAACATTCTCTAGGCAGCTTGTTCTAGTGCTCTGTCACCCACAAAGTAAAGGCTTTCCTCATATTCATATGGAATTTTCTCTGTTCCACTTTGTGCCTGTTGCCTCTTGTCCTGTCACTGGCACCACTGAAAAGAGCCCAGCCACACCTGACTCCCTACCTTTAGATACTTGTAAGCATTGATAAGATCTCCCCTTGGTCTTCATTTCTCCAGTTGAACAGTCCCAGCTCTCTGCTAAGGCAGATCCTCCAGATATGGCCCCACCAGGCAGAGCAGAGAGGGAGGATCACCTCCCTCAAACTGCTGGCCACGCTTTTTTTAATGCACCCCAGGATACCATTGGCCTTCTTGGCCACCACGGCACACTGCTGGCTCTTAGCCAACCTGTTGTCCACCAGCACACCTAGATCCTTCTCTTCAAAGCTTCTTTCCTGCAGGTCAGCCCCTAACCTGTACTGATGAATGCAGTTATTCCTCCCCTGCTGTAGGACTCCACGCTTGGTCTCGTTGAACCCCATAAGGTTCAACTCTTCAACCCCAACTCTTCAGCCTGTGCAGGTCTCTCTGAATGGCAGCACAGCCATCTGGTGCATCAGCCATTCCTCCCAGCTTCATAGCATCAGCAAACTTGCTGAGGATGCACTCTATCCCTTCATCAGGTCATTGATGAATCACATTTGATCAACAAAGTCAGGGCCTAAGGACTTTAAGCAGTGCCAGAAAACCAAGATGTCTGAGTGTGCTTTTAAGAAACATGCACTTTTGTGAATCTTCTTTTCCCACTGCCAACAATAAGGATATCAGTAACTGCTTTCCAAAGTCCATAAAATGATTACTTGACATTTATCCACGATTATTTTTTGCAAACTTCAAATGAAAGGAACAACAGAGTTTTTAACCACCAGCACACTATTCACCAGCAGGAAAAAATCTCCTGGTTTTGTACAGAGAACATCTGACTTTGCTGCCACTAAATCATACAAATAAGTTTTCTGATTTCCTTATGTATTCATGCAATTATACTGCATGGTGAATATTAAGATACATTTTATTACCTGCTCAGATTGTATTTCATTTTTTCAGGTTTTAATTTTTCTTTAAATATAATGAAAACTTTTCTAAAAACAAGGAAACCATCAACAAAAAATGAGCCCAAGCACCAGTGAAGATTTCAGTGATGAGAATTGTTTTTTGTTTGCATTTTTAGAGGCCAAGAATGTAGAGATGTTATACACGCTACTATCCCACATGTTGGGGGAGAGTGGGCAGTTCTTCACCTGTGAAAGTAGCTAAGAGGCAAAAATGAGAGAGGAACAAACATAATTCAGAGATGTGCAAGTAAAATTGATAGTGCCAATGGGATCCAAAGGAAATATTTATTTTTAATTTCTAATGTGTTATGCAGAGTAATGTTGTTTTATGTTATGTTACATCGTGGCACGTCATATGTCAACTTGATACAGTGCAGTTAAAATAAAAAAGAATGTATTTTGGATTGGATAGCTGCATGCCTGATCCAAACATTGCTGTTTTCTTTAATAACCAAGGAAATGGGGGAAGGAAAATCTACCTAAATACAGCCCGAATAATTGATTCTCTGATATCACTGTGTAAAACATTCTTGAAAGGATTACTAAAATTCTGGGTGCCTTAAAAAATAAACCCACACTCTGCAAGAGTGTGTGTGATAACTCAGGCACTGAAAATAAGAACTGTCTGGCCTTGAAAGAAACCTTAATACAGGGTGTAACAAGACTGCAAAAGGCAGGCAATGTAAAAGCGTTCCACCCATTTTTAGGTTTTGAGTTGTTTACCTTTTGAGAGAGTTTCAATCACATCACATTTTATGCTTTCCTTGTTTCTGGTTTTTATTGTTGTTTTTTGTTTTCTTTTGGAAATAAAAAAAGGCCTTTATGCATGGCTGGTTTTGAAATCTGTTGGAAACACTTGTTCTCTAGTTAGCGTCATGTGTGAATTTCTTCTCTGTTGAGATGTAGTGGATGGAGAGTATCACTGCATTGCCAAATCTATGCTTTCCAACACGGGAAGCATATGTGCTAATGAAGCAGAGAGTTGTGGATGCAGATCCCTTTCCCTACAGCAACTTCTTGCTAGCTTATTGCAGACACTCCTTGTCTCTATCAGTTGTCTAGAAAAGGGCAATAATACAAGATGCTCTCCCTAAGACTCTGTCAGCCTTCAACTATTTCCAGCTTAGGGACTTTCTGAGCTAGACAGGGTTTGTCTTTATTTAATAGACCCCAATAGACTTCTTTTCCATGAATTTGTCCAGTCTCTTTTTGACCCAGAAACATTTTTAGCATCCACAAAATCCTTTGGCACAGTGCCTGAAACATTACTGTCTCTTGCTTGTTTTAAACCTGGCATTTCTCAACTTCAGTATCTTCTGCTCATCTACACGTGCGCGTTTATATGAAGGCAAATATACCTGTGTTCCTTTCCCTGAAAGACACAGATTTTTAAAAGCACCACAGAACTATGCACAAAGAGCTGTGATTTCCCAGGCACCTTACGCAGTTAAGGCACTCAATTCTGATTAAACACTATTAGAAGCTGGCTGC